GAATTTTTCTCGTCGCTAGATTTGCGGTCTGGCTACTGGCAGGTCCCAATGGCAGAAGCTGATCGCCAAAAAACGGCATTTATTACACCAGACGGACTATATGAATTTAACGTCATGCCCTTTGGGCTTTGTAACGCGCCTGCCACGTTTGAACGTCTTATGGATAATACGCTACGTGGTCTCAAATGGAATATGTGCCTCTGTTACCTCGACGATGTCGTGGTTTTTTCCCATGACTTTCCTACGCACCTCCTTCGTCTCAGGCACGTTTTGAGTTGTCTGACCAACGCTGGTCTGCAGCTTAACCTGAAAAAATGCCGCTTCGCTGCACGCGAGCTCGTCATCCTAGGCCACATCGTGTCCAAGCACGGCGTATTACCAGACCCAGCAAAACCTTGAGCAGTTGCAGAATTTCCCAAGCCGACGACCATGAAAGAACTTCACAGTTTTGTAGGCCTATGTTCCTATTTCCGGCGCTTTGTTCGCAATTTTGCATCTATCATGTCACCGTTAACCCAGCTTCTTCGCGGTGACGTGAACCTCACCTCCTGGTCCCCCGCATGTGACGTTGCCTTCACTACTCTGCGCCGTCTGCTCACTTCCCCACCTATTCTTCGCCACTTCGACCCGACGGCTCCTACCGAAGTGCACACTGACGCCAGCGGCGTCGGGCTAGGCGCGGTCCTCGCTCAACGAAAGCCCGGCTATTCAGAATACGTTGTAGCCTACGCTAGCCGCACTCTGACGAAAGCCGAAACTAATTACAGCGTGACAGAAAAAGAGTGTTTGGCTCTGGTGTGGGCGCTTGGAAAGTTCCGGCCGTACTTATACGGCCACCCGTTCGATCTAGTAACTGATCACCACGCGCTTTGCTGGCTCTCCACGTTGAAAGACCCTTCTGGCCGCCTTGCGCGATGGGCACTCCGCATCCAGGAGTACGACATTCGCGTCGTATACCGCTGCGGACGCAAACACTCTGACGCTGATGCTCTGTCCCGCTCACCTTTACCACCAGATCAGACGTGCGGAAACACTTGCCTCCAGACCTTGTCATCACTAAATCTCGACTCGATTGCCACCGAACAACGCTGTGACCCGTGGATCGCCTCTCTTATCGAATATTTATCTGGCATGCCCAACCTTCCAGTATCTCGATCTCTCCGACGTCAAGCTTTCCATTTCGCCATCCGCGATCAACTTCTTCATCGACGCAACTACGCTCCCGATGGCCGCCGGTGGTTGCTGGTCATTCCACGCACTTTACGATCGCAAGTATGTGCCTCCCTTCACGACGATCCGCAATGTGGCCACGCCGGAGTGTTCAAAACATATGAACGCCTTCGCCATCGCTACTACTGGCGCGGCATGTACAATTTTGTTCGTAAATTCGTGCAGTGCTGTCCTGACTGCCAGCGACGTAAATCAACACTGCCACGTGCGACTGGCGCATTGCAGCCACTTCCATGCCCTGCCAAGCCATTTGATCGCGTCGGCGTTGACCTCTACGGTCCCCTTCCATTGACACCAGATGGTAATTGGTGGATTATAGTGGCGGTTGACCACCTGACACGCTACGCCGAAACAGCCGCTTTGCCGAGCGCTACAGCTCAGGATGTCGCCTCTTTCATTTTGCAACGCTTTATCCTTCGGCATGGTGCACCTCGAGAGCTCCTTAGTGACAGAGGCCGCGCTTTCCTTTCCGAGGTCGTCGAAACTCTGCTTTCGGAATGCCACGTCATTCATCGGAAAACAACAGCATACCACCCGCAGACTAACGGACTAACGGAACGGTTCAACCGCACGCTAGGTGATATGCTCTCAATGTACGTGGCATCTGATCATAGCAACTGGGACCGTGTTCTCCCGTACGTCACGTTCGCGTATAACACCGCAATACAAACCACCACGGGATTCTCACCTTTCTTTCTTCATTACGGACGCGAGCCTTCCCATACAATTGTTACCCTACTTCCTTACCGTCCTGATGCTTCCGAGTGTCCACCTATCTCCGATGCTGCTAGACAAGCCGAAGAGTGCCGCCAGCTCGCCCGTGCGTTCACCTCGGAAGAGCAACAACGCCAGAAAGAAACCCGTAGCACCTCTCTTCCGAATCCCAGCTATGCCCCAGGGTCTCTTGTGTGGCTTGCCATCCCATACCAAACACCGGGACTCTCCTCGAAACTTGTCCCCCGGTACGAGGGGCCTTACACCGTTTTGGAGAAAACATCTCCGGTTAATTTTCTAATTGAACCAGTTTCCCGATCGGACGACATGCGCCGGCGTGCACGTGACATCGTCCATGTTTCCCGACTGAAACCGTACCATGAGCTTCTGCCTGAAACTTCTTAAGTCGCCAGGATGGCTCCTTTTTCAGCGGGGGCGATTGTGAAGAAGAAGATGTGCCTGCAGCGAGCAGCATCGCCAACGCCCGGCTCTCTCGGCTCGTGCTTCGGTTCGTTGCTGTGCCGATCGCTGGACGGTTGTTCACGCTGTCTCGTCGCCGACTTTAACGGCTAATAAACCTCCTCACACACACACACACACACACATATATATATATATATATATATATATATATATATATATATATATATATATATATATATATTGATGAAGGTGCTTAGATGAATTGAAATTCTCTAGAAAGTCCAACAGGGGAGTCCATCTTACTCACGCGACCCACTCCTCAAGCTGGTGAGCGTCGTGCGGCTCCGGGTAGTGTCTGTAGCCATCCCGGTGTCCTCGCTGTCCCGAGTCTGACCAGACGTGGTGGTAATACGGGACGTGGCTGGTTCCAGCGAAAACAAACGTGCAACAATTGAGTAAAGTACTTCTACGAGCGAAAATTACTGACAATAATATTGACAATGAAATGAAGCCTCAAAAGCTCGTGAGAACACAGATGGCCGCACGGGCAGCTTTTATTTTACAAGACGTGGTTTACGCGCTACTCTTCCCTCACTTGTCCCCACAGACATTCTGCCCTTACATAGGTAATCACGCCGGCATTTAGCTTGTGCACTTAATCCAAAGCTCTATTATACGTTACCGATGCTTTAACTCGCGAAAGGTAGGTTGTGCTCGGGAAATTACATTCATGCGTTGCACTGTTCCGTGCGGTTGGGACTACGGCGTCATGTGGGGGTGCTGACGTGCACCTGTTCCGTTCTGTGTGTTCCGCCCCGCAGCTGCCGCACAGGCAAACCTCCCCGTGGGCGTGCCCTGTTTGTCTTACTGCGCACTTTAGAAGGATCGGACATAATGCGAGTTGTCCAAACACAATGCAAAGTAGACATATGATCGAAATATCAGACCATAGATCTATAGATAAAATTATGAGATGTCGATGCATTGATGTCGCTTGATTAAATGCTATCTTTAGTCTAGTTCGCTAGTATACCTCTTGTTTCAAGAAGTTAAGAATTTTCGAACACGGGTTGTCGTTGCAGACGATGTTTTGACAATCGGTTTTGCCCTATTCAAGGTTGCTGCTTTGAAGACCTCCTGCACGAGCGTAGCTCCAGCAACACATCGTGTTCAATAATTTTTTGGTCACTGCTATCTTCCCCGGAACTTCCGCATCTTCACTTAAGTTATCTGTTCGCAACATTCCCAGTGACAGGACTAATTAATAGGTGACTTTATGCTAAAGTTCGACAGGAGTCAGTGGCAACTTGCATATGCTGCAAGGTTAGCCTGTATGCCACGTGCTTAGCCTGTGCTGTTTGCGTTCAATACCGTCCAGCAGAACAACGTCGAATGCAAACGTAGTGGCAGGATTTCGTTGCCAACTGATTTTTACTGCGGTGTCATGCTCTTACATCCGCAAGTTTTTACACGAAAATGCAGCCAAATAATGCTTGAGCGTTTACTGTAGAAATTATTTATACGTTATGGCGTAAGCGCTTGATTAGTCCAGCTAGAAAGAAAAACACAAGTACTTACACATGGCGACGTCTTAATGCCAGCACACAATCCAGGAGAACCAAGGAAGAGTGGACGGCATAGACCGATTTTGCCGTGGTGAACCAAGATCTGAGAGAAAACGCAACGCACTGCCGATCCTTGGAGAGGCAAATCTTCTTCTGTGCGCTGATGATGGAGATGACGACGAGGGTGATGATGCTAAAAGATTGACATTGATATCCGATAATTGGGCGAGTTCTTCGGCTCTTCTCCTACGCTGCGCAATGCGTGCCATCGTTATTTCCCAGGATATGCCGACTTAAATGCGTGCATGTCCATTTAATGATTTCCAAACTGCGAAGAACGGGCAATCTACTCAGATCTCCGTACAACCAGCGGAACCACACTTTGTGACTCCAGTGTTCGTAACTGTGTTAATCCTGATGATTCGTTGAAGTCTTTATCAATTATTGGTTGATAAAAATTGTTTCTTACCGTCCGTGTGTTCCTTACTCATTTCCAGTGAACCTGTAGTGAGTAGTGGGGCTGACAGATTGACGACAACAGAATCATTGCTGATTATAGCAGCATGAACTGTAATGGTACGCCGCTTTCATTTCGTGGTGGTCTACGCGGCCAGTGACGCCCACACCGCATTCAGCAAAGCGGCATTCATGGAGTCTGTAGTGCCCTGGTACCATCAACACCCCCTTATATCATGCCATTAAACTGCGATGCAAAATGCAAATAAAAATATCCCCTCCCCCCCCCCCCCCCCGCGCATATGCTCAGTGTTTGTCAGGACCACATTCTAGAAGCACTGCCAACGAACACCTTTTTCCACCGTTCTCAGTGTGACCACTTTACCCTCTACATGTCCTCCCCACGTTACCATTCTTTGAAACACAGGCCATGCTTTACCGTATGGTAGGCTTTCGCGCTAAGTGCTCCTAATCCGTACCACGTTCCTGAGGTCTGGGAGCGAACCTTGTCAAGCCGCACCCACAGAGACCCGCATGGGCTGGCAGTGACAGCTGCCCACGCAGTGAAAGAACTTCCTGGAAGGGTACATTACCCCAAAGACAATGGCCAAATAACGCCGGCATAAGTTTATTTTTTTACAGAGCCATGCTGAAACTTCCAGCACGAGGTGGGGTTGCGCTCACATTCATATATTGTTTTAATAGGCTACAATGGAGCCGTTTACAAAACAAAATTGCCAGCGCACGTGGATATTTCGATAAGCAATCATTCGCCGTCAACGCTGCCTCCCCTGCGTGAGTCATAGCTTGCGTGCAAACAACCAGCCTCTTTCTTGATGCCGTTGACGGTCGAACCCTTTCCTTCGTTCACTTCGAAGACGTGTCCCTTGTTCTCCAGCTCCGCAATGGTCTCCTGAAATTTTGAAAAATAGAGAAATATAGGGCGATGTAATGCTGTCCACGTACCTATCAACATGCGCAACTTGCATGTCCTGGCGACGCCTGAAATTTCAGTTTTTAGCTATACAATCGACGGAATGCCAGAGCAATGCATCCTAAAATATCAATTTTCAGTCGACATGGGTAACGCTCTCTTTTTGGAGGCACGCGGTACGGCAGCAGGCTTTCATGCTTGACCACGTGTCTGTACCCGCCGTCTGCGCACGAGTTCTCAAAGAACTCATGTGTTAACCCACTAGTTCCCAGCCACGAATGTATCGGGGACCCTTTGGGCCCCGGTGGGAATGATGAGTGAACCCTTACAAATAAAGAAAAGTAGGAAGAGGGAGGTCGAAGGTGAACGCCTCCTGCAGCGTGAAATAGGTGCATTTTGTTTCTCTGCAGCAAAGAGTGTTCAAATTTAGATGCCACACGACTCTGATCTCAACAGCTTCAAAATAAGTTGAACAGCCTGCAGCCATACTCGACGTATTTCTAGCCATGCTTGTTCTTCAAGTATGGAAGCTATGGGAAAACTATGCCCGCAAATACATATGTCATAGATAATTACAGCGAAAGCTTTAAAGCCACCACTATGCATAAATGTTATCCTGTGACGAATACACTACCACGGGACACAGCGTCTGCCCCTGCCCCCTCCCCCTTCTTCCAGAGGATGGATTGCGCGGACACCTACGTGAGAACAGCTGTTTCAATCGTTGACAAATCGAGTAAAACAACACCAAAAGGCGAATAAAACCTGACGAGGGACCAGCGACACTACTTGTCAATCTGTCTGCCTGTGTTTTTCTGCGATGAAATGGGTTCGATATTGTAAACGAAGAAATCAAAACAGGCCATATTTCTAGAGGCTGATGAAATTTCATCGCTTTAGGGCAGCAACTACTGGACTATATCGTAAGACTGTAGTGAGCTGTCCTAAAATAAATTTATTCTTACCTACGGTCGCATTCTTTGAAGCGTATAGGAAACCTTTTACACTCAGAAATGTTCTAGGGAGTTCCAAAAAAAAAAAAATAACGCAACGTTGCAGAAAAAAAAAGAATGCTGGGCACTGTATTTCAGCGAAATAGTGTAATGCCATGCATTATTGCAGATTACTTGTGATTCAGCCAATCTTTACGGCGACTTCACATTACCGTACTGAGCAAGTAGCAAGAAGCGTGCCAGTTTGTCTCAAAGAAGAAATTAACAGCGCGAACACAGGATGGCGAAAAGAATCACGGCAGCTACGCACTGTGAGGACTGAGAACAGAGCGAAGCTGATGGCTTTCTTCTCGCTCTTTCTGTTCTCCTCGTCCTCACTTCTCTTTCTCACCCTGTTGTCATACTATGCTGTACATGATTATGCTATACCTTCTCTCTCTCTCTGTTGGTTTCTTTCCATCTCTTTCTTTGTCTCTCCATTTTTTCCTCTTCCTTTAGCTTCCCTTTGCTTGTCTTTTTGAAATCTTTCTTTCTTTTACTACCTTTTTTCTCGTTGTCTCGCTCATGCACTAATATGATTCTATAGGTGCTTGTTCTGCTAGCTTGTCTGGGTAGCCGAGCGGTTACGACGCTCTGCCCACGCTGGTTCCCATTCCGTCTCGCCAAGAAACTTGATATTTTATTTGTTTCCACTTCTACTCCCTTCCAATTATCTTAGATTATTCTCCTCCGCAGGTCGCGGGATTGAACCCCGGCTACGGCGGCTGCATTTGCGATGGAGGCAGAAATGTTGTAGGCCCGTGTGCTCATATTTGGGTGCACGTTGAAAAATCTCAGCTGGTCGGAATTTCTGGAGCCCTCCACTACGGCGTCTCTCATAATCATATCGTGGTTTTGGGACGTTAAACCCCACATATCAATCAATCTTATTCTCCTATTTTCAATTCCTCCAGCGGATTACTAGGCAACGCGAAATTCAATAGCCGTTCATGATGAGGATAATGTATTTAAATGCTACACGGCGCAACAAAGAGCTTTACAGTTCCGCTGTTGAAACATGACGTCGTGCGCTGTTCGGCTACACTCCTCGTCTTCAGTTCCAGTTCAATTAGCTCGCTTCACACATTTCCGCTCACCTGTGGAAAGTGCGGCTCCACAATGACTCGATTCGGGATGAGCTGGTGGTGAAGTCTCGGTCGGTCGATGGCTTCCTTGATGTCGTAACCTCCCCAGAGTGATCTCAGTGCCACCTTGAAGAAAAGTGGGGAGAAACTGCTATAACAACTTTAGTAAAGTCTGTCATACTGTACTTGCATTGCTATGATCATTTTAGCCCTAAAAATTACAAGTCATAGGTGCACTACACTTTATATGTCTGACAGCAGAAAAGGTGCTGCAGCACTCCTTTGAAGCCAGAAAAGCGAGGTGCCATGTTGTCACCGCGTCCAGCCTCGAAAGCCTCAGAATGAACGCTTAGATATGGGGTTCATCATTTACAGTTATTTCGATGCATTTCCATTTAAGTGACTGTTCTGGTTACAGGAGCACGCTTTTCATAACTAGCAAGTGCGCTTTTTTACGCTGCACACTTGCGCAAGTATTGGTGGCACCTGCCGTGCTTCAGGCGGAGACGTGGTCCATAGTTGAACCTCATGGGATTTGTCCATTGTGAGTGTTTATACAACGAGAGCCGGCTGTACATTTTTCCCGTGATTGCTTAAGCAAACCGCACCTGAACAGACTATGTGTAGTAGGTGACTGGCCGCCATTAGTTGTTCAAACTGCATAGCAAGACAGCTAGCTTCACAATTTTGAAAATGGTTTGAAAATAGCTGTAAATTCCTAAACAACTTTATTCTCTCTGCATATGTATGATATGCCACTAAAATTCTAATGTGGTAAGACGCCGCGATTATTAAGTTTATTGGAAGGAGAGGGTTAAAAATGTTTTGCTTCGAAGTCATAAAAACGGCTTATTTTGAGCTAGAAACAGCTGTCAGTAACATCAAAACAAATGTTAATTAAAGTCATAAACGCTTTTTGAAGGGGCTCTTGGAATTAAACCGAAAATAAAAATTGATTAGATTAAGAAACAAAGTAAGTGTTCATGTATTAAGGTGTACGCAGGCGGGCAGACTGTTGCTTTCATAAACGTCTGCGGGAGCCCGCCCTTTTCCAGAGCGTGCACAAGTGTAGGGATGAATTTGTTCACTGCGAGTGGTATGTATCCATAGGGTATGGGTTTCCTCCATATTTTAACTTTTTTTTTTACTTGGTATAGTGCGCTGCTTGTCCTTAGAACATGAGGCTCCCTTCAATCGTCTAATTTATGCATTCACTTGTGGCATTTATCAGTTAACCTCATGCCCCATACAATTTCGTCCATAAAAAGTGATGCAATCACTGGCATTTAGCTGGTTACCCCATACCTTATGCAATTTTTTTCCCTTCGAAAGCAACGCAATCACTTGGGAGTCGAAGCTACCTTCTGAACTTTCCGGCTGTTGCTTCACGAGTTAATGTCGCGTTGCTGATGTTGTGTCATTTCCGAGCCGTTAGGTTTATCACACGTTTAAATGTCATCCCTAAGATCACTGTATTGCTTTTCAGAACAAAATCGTACCAAAGGACTGCCTACTGATTGCCTAACCTTATCGCAGATTCGGCGTGAATATTCACCCCGATTCGTTGAAAATATCAGTTGCCTCTTGTGTTTCACTTACCAATGCGACCGCGGACGTTATCCTGGGTCCCCCAGTGCCACCCAACGCAAGCACGGCGTCCCCTTTGCAGTCCACGAAGACGGAAGGCACCATTGAAGAAAGGGGCCGCTTCCGTGGTTCTATGAAGTTGGGCCTCGTAGGGTAGACATCGTACGAATTGCTCATCCCCGGTGTCGCGAAGTCGTCCATCTGGTTGTTGAGGATCACTCCGCTGGACGTGCGTAATTTGCTTCCGAAACTAGAAAGGTGAAAGACAAAGTTTCGTCTTTCATGAAGCATTTACTTCATACTCGTTTACTTTATACTTAGTATACAAGATAATGCATGCTTTCTACGCTGTTATGCATCATCGAGAAGCTGTCGACTCGGACACTAAAAGATGCGTACACAAGTAACATATATTTGACACAAGTTTTTGAACTTCCACTAGTCTTTTATTCGTAGCAGCAACATTATTCATAGAACCTTGTCGTCATCTGCCCACTTTGCTTCTCGCTTACTTTCAAGATTCTACATTGGTCAACATTACCTTGCACATCATGGAATCTGCAGTCATTTTCTTTGTATCAAGCTAGCTATTCTTGACAAGAGAATTGATGTGGAATATCATCGATGGATAAAAGGAAACAATATTTCTGAATTACACTGAAGAGATGAACTGTCGAAATCATCAACACTCAGGTATGCACTCAGTAGTCTCAGGTAACTTAAGTTATTTTAATGTTATGCATTTAATATAACAATGAAAAAATAATGTATTATTATTATTATTATTATTATTATTATTATTATTATATTATTATTATTATTATTATTATTATTATTATTATTATTATTATTATTATTATTATTATTTATAAGTATACGTTTCTCAACCAAGATATCATTATGAGGAACGCCGCAGGGCAGTGATCCGGAAGTTTCGATCATCTGGTGTTCTCTAACCGGCCTCTGCACGGGCTCCTACCATTTCACTTCATCGAAATGCGACCGCCGCGCGGCCAGAACTGAACTCGTCAGAACCGATAACCACAATCACGGATCTACGCGGCTAGGCAGAATCATTCACTGATTTGTTAGCTGCACTTTCTTTACTTGGTCAAAAGAATACCAACTTTTAAATAAAAACTATAACTTACTTCGAAATGAAAAAAAAAGGTATGTGTTTCTTAGGTTCAAGGTAGCAATGGAAATACTCCTCAGTTCATTAACAAATAAGGTAGGTTTAACTTTGAGGGAATACAAACATATTTTTAGTCCGTCTTTGTATGAAAAACATTCACGATCGCAAATACCAAGCGCCATATCGAAGAATCGCTGTCGATGTAATCACCAACAATTACTAGTTTACGCACTGGTTGTTGATAGTTGAGGTAATGGCGATGACATCCCCAGTGTCTCCCCAGAAGGTTGCATGTGCCGTGCCACCATCTTCGGGATACGAATTGTTGAGAAATCCGTAGTGTGCGGGGTCGTCGAACGTAGTCGACTCGTTGATAAGGTTGCCCACCGCAGCAGCCCACTCGGGTGTCGTCATGTTCTGCTCCAACTGGCGGGGTGAAGTGGGCACAACACAGTTGGAACACTTGACGCAGAGTTTAGGGAGGGGCTTGAAGACATTCTAGATTGCAATAAATATCTTTCATGGTCATTAATATTTGGGGGGGAATGACGAATAGTAAACTCTACATAAGTGATAACGCTCCTAACGAAACGACTTGCTGCAGTAAAGTGTGGGCCTTTTGTTGAAACGCTGGCTCTAATTCCATTGTTTTCACAAGGACTATATTCATCGCATATTTTACTGAGCTCGCTCTGAGTTGCCACATTAAAGAAAACGGCTAAGTTCCTGGGGGCCACTTATGAACAAATGAGAGTTCGACGTCCAGCTAAACAGGGACTGAAAACAAACGTAATTATTTTCCAAATTATTTTTCAAATTAAGTTTTGAAGTTGGCGCCGTTATTTTTATAGATGTCTTGACTTTAACGCGGGCGCAATCATTCCTCCATGCATTGTCTGTCTCGGTTTGTGTGTTTACTAGTTTCGTCCTAGAAAAGGCTCCACATTTGGACACACACACTAGAGTGTAAAACTAGACAATAGAAATTTGTGTGCTTCCTTTGTCTGTGTTCCAGCTTGTATATCTGCACTGATAACTTGTTCTTTGATGTGTCTACAAGTTTTCCCATACTTTTCTTGTCACACTGGTCTCGCGTCATGGTCAAAATGGCCGCGCGTAACTTCATGTTTGGTGACATGATAAGAGCACGCTCCATAAGTCATGTTATTCGCCTTTTCACTCACTTCTTTGACATCTTCGAAATCACTGTCTCCAAGGTGAGACCTTCCACCGTAACCATGCTTGCATGCTTCTATGAATCTGAAAAAAAAAACGAAAGGTTATAAAGTAGCTAGTATATACATTGCAAAGCAGCCTTTCCGGCTTCGTTTATTGTTGAAATCGCGTCACTGATAAACTTTACTCAAAGGCGAAAACCATCTCGTATTCCTTTTATGTCGATGTATTCATGCTGGCCTGCCACCCTCCGATAGCTTTCTGCACGTAATGTGCTTTCGCACTGCCTCCGTGATTAGCCTACCTTTCACGAATCTATAGTGCCATTTGATGACGTTGTCAGGTATCGTTACGTCACTTGGTGTCACAGTGAAGTCGTTATAATGTCGCATATAAGGGTTATATGTGACAACGTTACGTGTTGATGTTTTGCATCATTCGTGTATAGTCCCTAATACTTGTGGTCAATTTTTGCGTTTGGTGAAGCAGCTAAGTCATTCGCCATAATGTGAGCTTAATCACAAACAATGGCAGCTTGATATTTTCGTTCTAAGTGGGAGGGTTGCTTGCGGAAGCTCTTCAGCATGATCGAAATCAAAATTGCCACGAGGTTTCAATTTCAAGTTACATTGAAAAATGAAAAGCAAGTATTTGATGTAACCTTAGTTGCAACATCCATACTCCTACATCTCGTGTATTCTTTATTTTATTCTCCATACTTTCATTAACACTTACAGTGCATTTGCAAACATCGGAAATTAGCACGAACGTGTGCTTATACAATCCCACGGTGAAGCCGATCGTATCAATAACCAGAAACATGCAGTTTCGAGGAGGAGCCAATGAATTGGTAGTCCAATATTTGGGCTGTAATTAGCATTTGATTTCGGGAGCTTTCCTCTTTGCATACTGTGATATGTCTGTAGCATGCGCTGATTAGCTGTAGTTCTTGGACTCGATCTCAGCTGATCCGTCTTTTCAAAAACAGCTTGCGAAATCAACCTAATGGGCCTGTGAAATCAACTTCACTTGCGAAATCAACTTTACTTGCGAAATCAACTTTATAGACAGTGGATCAACAACGATCTTCAGTTTTGGCGTATTGGAGTCCGAACTTTAAAATCAACATTTTTTCGTCCTCGTTGCTTGGCACATAGCTATATATAATGTGCTACGTCGGGAGGCTATTTTTCGTAATAACAGAGCACTCACCTGTGCCATTGCAGCGTTGTGCTGTTAAATCGTTCGAGAGCATCGATGCCCACTCTGAGTATGCCGGCAAGCACGGCTCCACTGCCAGGTGAAGCTACCGTGAACAGGGTGTTGCCGTTCGACAGATCAGCAACGATGGGCTCCTTCCACTCGGCCTCGTAGCTCTTGAGGTCGTGCTCCGTAATCACTCCACCTGCACAGGAGAAAGGTAGGAATCGGTAAATCTGACAATATGACTTGTTTTCAAGAACAAATTAAGTTCAATTACTCTAAAGGAAAGGACCATACTCAAAGTACAGATGAACACATCACGCGGTAACTATTTCCCATATACGGCTTTTTTATAGCTTAGACACACGCGCATAACTGCGGCAATGAACTCCAACGTTATTGGCAGTATATCTTATAGCCCAGCCTCTAAAAACATAATAGTGATGCGAAGTGCCGACAAAAGACAGACTACATGGTTGTGTTTTGATAAATAATAACCTAAATTCATGAGTTTCATCCCTCCACAAGCTGGGAACAGCTCTAGAAACAACGGTGTATCTTTGGGCCGAGAATCTTCTGAACGCTGCACGACGCGTTTTCTGGACCGTCAGTTGTTCTCATGGGGCGTAATGATAAGACAATGCGTAGCTCTACAGCATAGCATACATGTTATATTGTTGAACATGCAGTAACTTGCAAGCTTCTTGAACTTGCTTCTCCACAGAAGTATGTAGCGTAATATTAGGCCGACCAAGGTTACTTCCCCTCACGAAATTTGTAAATTAATGCCCAAAAACATCCTGCACCCCATGGTGGTCTACTTATAATAGTCCTTTACTGCTGAAGCTATGGTCGCGAGATCGTAGACCGATGACGGCGACCCTATTGCGATGGAGGCGAAATATTTCCGGCCCGCATACTTAGATTTAGAACCCCAGGTGGTCGATATTTCCAGAGCCTGTTCATTACATTGTCCCTCATAGTCATATCGTTGTTTTTGGACGTAAAACTCCAAAAGTGATCGTTATTAATAGAGAAACTCGTTAGCAACATGAGACTTGATCTTCCTTCCTGTACGTAAATATTTTGTTCTGAGCGTTAGTTCATCAAATATGCACAGAAACGTTCAATTTCTGACGGGTTCGTATGCATCCTTTTCGATAAGGACGCTCACTGATGATATGTTACTAATAACTGCAGTGCCCTTTTTTGTCATTTAACATGTATATAAGCAAGGTGTGTTGATTTGGCAATATGGCTGACGACCGCAAAATCGTGGTACTCTGTACCGCATCCCCTCTGTAAGGGTACGTTTGTGCCTTTTTATCGTGTTTTTATATTGGTAATAATGAAATCTAAAAGTATCATGTCAAATAAATATGTATGACTAACATAATCATGACATTGAAGTGATGTTTGCCACCTTGTGCCTAAAATTTAGTCAGTGTGCACAAAGAAGCACCTCATACATTCCTCTCCATTTTTTTATTTTCTGTGAGACGAAACACATTACGAATAAAAAATGGCAGCATATCCACGGAGTGAGTGATGGATAGTGGGGCGAAGCATCCGTCCGTCCATTCGTTCTTGCTTCCGTCCATGCATGCATGCGTCTGTGTGGCTGCCCGTGCATCCATCCGCCCGTCCGTGCATGCGCCTGTTCGTGCGTCCGCACGTTCATCTGTGCGTCCGTCCCTGCTTTCGTCCACGCATCTGCTCCTGCGTCTGTCCATGCGCCCATCCGTCCGTGCAGCCATCCATGCATTTGTCATCCATGCCATCCATGCGTCCGTCCATGCATCTGTCTGTGTGTCCGTTAGTCCACCTATACAACACTCTAAGTAGCACCATCTCGCATCCTTTCATAATATACTCCTTATATAGAAGCACCGCCATCCAGCGGACATTCCAATGACTGAACGAGAGGATGCACACGCACACTTTCTTATGGCTTGCGCTTCGTGTCTACTTCCCACCTTCAACCACCTGAAGCTCATGATATATTCACTGTATTTATGGCACTGCGGCCCAATGCTCGCTAAATCTTTTTAAAACCTAGGAGGTTACGCCCAGCATGTATAACGTAGCAACCCTTTCTTTTCTTCTGTGCGTTGTTGAACTATAAAAAATTCGCAGTGTGAACGTTAACTAAAAGCCGAATTCTCCTGTTTTTCATTCCCCCTTAGCAGCCATTGGCATGTACTATGAGCATTATCTTTTATTATTTAACAACGCACAGAAGAAATCTCTCACTGGCACCACCTTGGAGGTCAAAATGCTATAGTTATTACACACTACTACAACGGCTACGAGGAACGAATGGATGCCGCTATAAGAAGCTTCGCCGCTAAAAAGCGATTCTTTGTTTCTAAGCAGTAATACTACCAGATATACAAATTCGGCACTGCGGAAGCCACTGCGAAATAATTATAACATTTGTTTATAAAGACAATGTCAACCCCAACGTTGTACTAGTGCAATGCATATAGCTTTGCATTTTCTCTTACCGTCATCCCGAATCTCCTTGGCCATCTGCTCTCCGATTCCACCTTTGTAGAAATAATCAGGTCCTTTGTTGGCTATGACTTCCAGAGTGTCGGCGAGGTCCGCCTGAACCAGTAGATCCCCTTCGGCCAAAGTGTCGTTGGTTGTTTCATTCCAGAAGACCTTCCTAGAATCAGAAGCACTCCCTGCTTGATATGAATCTAATTCAAAAACACCCTCCAACGTTAGTTAAACAATCAATGCAGACGCATTCCGTCGCTTTTCTTTACTTTTATTTTGCGTTAACACTATCACTGGTTGCAACCACTACTGTGTATAATAAACAGCACAAATAGGAGACTATTCGAAGATGTAGCTAATTATCACACGAGGTATCGGCAACCTGTAAATAATATTAATGAAGTGATAGCGGAAATAGCTAATTTATGCGCACATTTCTAAAATAACACGTCATTGTGCAATTATTTGTGGTGGGCTGACGATCTATCCCATTGCCATCAATTTTGTGAATGTCGGTGCTTTTTACGTTCACTCTACTTGACGAAAATCGGTAACGGTGATAGCCTTTCCTGAGCAACGAGTCACTTGTGTCGACGAACGTAACTTGAGCACACCCCTCTGCAAATTACCTTCAGTATTTGTTCCAGCGCAAGGTATGTGGCAGCGCGAAGCGTCTGCTACTTTATTGCGGTAGCTTTAAAGAACACATGATAACGTTGGTGGCCGAGTGGTCTGTTGCAATCAACAATAATTTATGCCCATCTAGCCAGTCCTAACGATTGGGCATGTTGGATAATAAAGAACGAACAGTAGTTGACAGCCGTAGGACAGAGTACGTCTACCTCCTCGGAAACCACAATCATTTTAAACCACTTAAAAATACGGTTACCGGGATCATTCATATGGCCCATACATGAATTTATCATGTTGCCTCCTGCATGGTTGTATACTGTTTCCCTTTTGTTCAATGGAAGATAGAGAGGAAAAGGTAAAAGAAAGACGGGGAGGTTACTCAGAAGAATACTCCAATTTGCTACCCCGTGCTTGGGAAGGAGGAAAATTGTTGTAAAAGAATGAAAGAGAAAAAGAAAAGTTGGTGACAATGGGTATAATGGTAAATCGCCAGTATCTCTATATTGCAAGTAGGCAAAAAAATACAAACAGAAATCGGTATTTCTATATGGATACACCATGACTGGAAGGGGTTGCGTGCTCACTTCAGACTTTCTGACAGGTCGTCCTTGTGTTTCTGTAGAGCAGCGGCCAGGTGCGGTCCCACGGGGAAGCCGTACCGGGCGAGGCGAATGGCGTCGTCGAAGTGATCCCGCCAGTTGAGGGTGGCGTGCAGCTTGCGCAGCAGCGTGCGATAACCACGCAGCTCACCAGGTACCGCTACTGACAGACCGCCTGCGTGTTCACACGATAAAGAGAAAGCTACCGTGATTTCGGAGCAAGGGCTGTCATTGTGGGGAGTGTTATGATCAACGTATCGTGAGTGGTTTTACTCGCAGCGTTATCTAACCTACGTAGAACGTTACTCTCAGGCATTACAAGGAGCGAAGCTATTTAGGCCCGCACTCCACCGTCGCCGTCGAAGGTGACTGTGCCCTGCAAGCGCGCCGAATTAACCAACAGGGGTGTGCTCCCGCCGGATTTGGTCATTCCAGCGACGCAAGTGGCGCCGCGTGGCTTTCTTCCTAACCTGGCACACGCTAATAGGGAGTTTTAGAATACCGTTTGCAAGCGCTGCGGGCGTTGCGGGCGAAGCGGGCGCCATAAGAGTTTCAGGATAGCGTTTGTCCTGCTGCGAACCGCAACGAACGATCGCAGCGACACCGTAGCCTCGAAACCAGCGCTTGCGGGCCACATGCGGCCCGCCATCACCGCACGCAATTTCGGATTTTCTGCGTGCGGTCCGCGAACGCGAACGCCGACTCGCGTTACGACGCATGCGCAGTGGCAGCGACCACACCGCAAGGGCTCGCGGTGCGCTATTCTAAAACTCCCTAATAAGTCAGAGACGCAGTTCGGTTTCGCGGCATTTATACGCGCTGATTTGTTTTCATTCGAACATCTATGCGTCTCTTAAGCGAGAGAAAGTGTGGTCCGCAGCGAAACTAGAGGGCCTGACGAGCTTTGCTGTCTGAGACGCGCTCCTCAGCACCATCTCGTCCACCATTTTTGACCGACCGTCGCGCCGCCTATAGTCGCTGGAATCATCAAATAACTCACGCTGCGCTACACGCGCCGCACAATCACTTGTTCAGTGCTTTGCGCCAGCGAGCAATTTCGCCACACCCTTCTCACCGTATAGCGTCTTCATGAAAGCCAGCCGCGAGATCAGGCTGATAGTCGTTGGCGTCCCATTCCTAAAAAGCTCCGCTCATCGGTTGCATTCGTACACGCGACAACTGCTAGTTTCATGCGAAACGCCTTATAGAATCTGCATGACTCTCAACGAAAATTTCTACGTCGCACGTTCTGCTCCTAATAAATTAATCAATGGCACCGTATTTGGAAATACTAGTTAACTTTTGAACCTTTCGCGACATTAAATTATCACAGGAAACTCGTTAATTAGCACGACAACAGTATATCTTTCGATGGGCATTAGTTTAGGCGTCACTGAACGTTTTTCGCACGCATTGATTACTCCTTGCACACCTGCCGTAAGATTCTATATACCTATCATTCTTCATAAAAGAGCCATGACGTTTGAAGCAAAACAGCAGGCCTTTACTTGCATTTCTCTATGAAGTTTCTGCACTAATTCAGGTTTATTGCAGGAGGATTAAGGAAGCACGTACCTCTCCTGGACAATGTCTCGTTTCCAACAAACATGTCCCACGTAGCTGCTCCTGGAGCTCTTTCCCTTGCGATCAAAGTCATCGCCTTCTTTGAGCGTCTAGACAACGCGAAAACAAAGCAGTACAACGCAAACTCACATCATTTATTTAAGTTATTCACTCATCATTTCAACATAAATGTTCGTGTCAGTTTACTGAGGGTTTTAGTAAACACTGTCATAAATAAAAGCGTATAGCTGTGCTTTCACTCACGCATGTCACCTGTCAGCTCAGCTTGAAATGACTTGCGTAATTACGTTAAGAATAGCTAGTAAGGATTTTCGAAAGCTAGAGAAAATGACCTAATTGATTTTTTACATAGTATCGAAGAGTAACTTTGTGGTCTATTAACCCAACAAAATTTAATAATGAAAAACACGGGAGATAGGAGTGGTGGTAGAGTAGAAACTGGTGAGTTTATATCGACCACTTGCATAATAGGGTAAGCAAGCAGTACTGAATCAAGCGATCTCCTTCCACTTGTAACCGTGATAGTCTATTTTACAAAGAGATGTAGCACGGGGGAGTAAGTTTCTGTTACCTGAGATATATGGTGGCCATGAATCCTCCGCCTATTCCCATTGAATGGGGTAGAACAACGCCCATGCACAGCATGGTGGCTACAGCAGCGTCTGCAAGGTTTCCACCTTTCTTCATGATGTTCCTAGTCAAAAGCGGGCAATGAAGATTTGTACAAGAACGGTTATCACTTATCCAGTTAATACATGGTGTGCGCAAACACGGTGGCATCATGGTGCACCGAATCACTCATTTATTGTAGAATGTTCAGTGAAGGCTTCGTAATTATGACTTTTGTCGTGGTTAAGGACTTACAGCGGATGCTCTATGCAGGTCGACAAGTTATATTTCCGTATAAACAAACTTACAGTTGCCACGTTGCATGCCTTCAACAGCGCTCCGCCTTCATTGCAATGAGTGGGGACGCAATGGCAATATACGAGGAATAAACTTCCATCTTTAGAGTTTTTTTCTTAACTGACGTCTTTAACCTACTTTGAAGCTTCATATTCCATTTTTTCTGCATTTCGGAGCTCTCCCTTTGAAAACAACCAGGGTAGAATCTTTCAATACAAACTGTCACTTGTAGGCATAATTGAGGACAAATTACTCCAGTTTTTGTTTGAATCTTGTTACGTTTCATTGTTTTGGATTTTTTAGCTAAACAAACGACACAGAAAATCGGCTTTAGCCGGCGCCATGTGCCGCAACTGGCCTGGTTTGCAATAAGCTAAGCCTTGATCAAGATTGCTGATGGATTGATGTATAACTACCAAACTGCTTACCTGGTTACGTTGGCGCAAGGTGCTGCGTCGGTCGCCACTGCCCAGTGGCTAAAGTTTCCCATAGTAGAATCGGAAGCTGTAGCATCTGCCAAGGGCTCTCCACATCTAGCATCCTCGACGTCCCCAAGTGGCGTCGAAGTGGTCTGTTCTGTCGTTGCATTTTCAGACGCTGCGTCAACAGAAGATTCCGTACTGGTGAGCCCTGTGTCTTCAGTGCCTTTAGAAGGGCACTTGCACGTGGCGGCGGAAGATGTTCCATCTTCAGACTTGGCTTCAGTGGGCTCTACTTCCTCATGACCTGCAGGAGTGGAATCCAGAAGAGTGGTAGAAACCACGCCAGCTTCCGATGCGGATCCGGTGAACACGGTGTCACCGTTGTCTCCAGAAGTGGACTGGAGCGCTGCGACGGACTCGGTCGTCGCACGAAGATCTGATTCGGGCAGTACTCCCGTAAACTGAGGCAGAGCTGTTGCGGCATCAGGCGTAGCAGTTGTTAAATCAAGTTCTTCTTCGTGAGACCTTGCGCATACAATGGCGAAAGCAATCACTCCTAATGCCACCAGAAAACCGTAGCTGCGGGAAGTAAGAGGAAAAAAAATGTTTTGGACAATCGCGTGACACAGCAGTAATGTGAAAAATATCGAGGATTGTTTTCAAAAATGCTGTAACAAACGCTCACATACCACACGCTTTTAATTAAGATTTTGAGCAATTGAGATTTTGTCCCGGAGCACATGCCAGAGGTGCTTGTTTTAGCACAACTTCACTTTTCTAAATAACAAACGCTAGTGTATTGGTCAATCTATTTGACGGGGGCCAGTTTATGGTAACTATTCGAACTTCACACGTCATGTGCATTCCTTCTCGTCGTTGGAGCTATCTCTGTGAGGATTCTTGTTCGGTACCCAGCAGTGGTTCTATCTGAATGTTATTTCCTTTTGCAAGGGGTGCTATACTTTCCTTATCACTTGATTACCTGGCTATGAGGGGTCGCTGATAAGGCACTGATAAGGCGCTGAAAAGAAAGCAGCGCAATCGAGTGAAAACAGTTCGTGTGATACATGGTTTAGCCCGGCAATGAACTCTTCATTTAATGTATAACACCAAACCGCGCTCCAGGTTATCCTTAAGAGAGTGTGATGCGGGTTCTTGTTGCTGATTTGTTTTTCTCCCGGGCTGAGCCTCAGAGAGTTTTTCTAATAAGGACAAAGCCGTTCGGTTTCCAAGAAACACACAAAAAGTTTAATTGAAAAGTAAAAAGGCAAAGATTCCTCACAAAACAAAACACTTAATAAACAGTTGACTGGACATGACGAAACACATCTGTAAACACCCAACAAGAACGTTCAAAGTCAGTAACTAAACCTAACGTTCGGAAAGGGCTGAGTGATGGGAGTAGCGCAAGAGTATCGGTGCAGTCTCACCCACAAGTTGGTTTTCGGCGGTGATGAGAAACCGGAACGCCGTGACTCCTGCGTCAGTGCGTGGGTTGGACGAGGACGAGGGAACGCTGGCTGCTGGCGACACGTCGAAAAGCCCTACCAAATCGTGATGGTTTCGGCTTGAGGAGCGTGGACACGTCGGAGACGGGAGAACGCAGGCTGGTGGCGACGCGTCCGGGAACTAGGGTCGACCTAGTCAAGCAGCTGGGCGCACAGCTCGGGCCCGGAGCCCGACGGCTGTAGCTCGCCTGCCGGAACCAAAGTCCGCAGGCCCTGGAAAGGAGTTCAGGGCCGGATGGCCACGGTCCTTTGGAGCGGGAACCCGACAGCAGGAGGCCCCGGCCGGTGGAAGTCCTGTAGGCTCGGGTCCGGAACCCAACGGCCCATCTTCAGCGCCCGGTCCGGTGACGACCTTCCGCTTGCACTGCCTGCCTCGAATTCCCCTTGCTCTGGTCTCCCCAGGCTCCTGCTTCAGCTCTGGCCCACTTGTCTCGTTCTCATTGGAGATACTACTGTTTCGTGGTGTCAAGCCATTGGGCCTTGAAATCTCCGTGTTCGCTGCCCATTGGATGTTTTACCTTTTGTTTACTTCACGTCCTGCCACGCATCCTCGTGCTTGACGCTCTTTAACGTCGTCATTCTTGTTTAAGCAGCACCGCACGTGCACTCTGGTATTTCTCCTTTTGTTTTTTTTTTCCGTGACGCGCACTTTTCGAAGGCGCGCACTTTGAACGCGCACCACACATCACATACGCCCCCCTTTTATTCAAGTTTTTTTTTTTTAGAAAAAAAAACTGCCGATGAGTGCGCGTTCTGCACTACGTCACAATTAAACCACATATTTGCACCACGCAGTTCAACACATCACCGGGCTACAGTTCGCTACATCGTCCAAATGTCCACACTTAAACTTTAGATTCACCCAATTGCATTTAAAAGTTCTGAAACCCGGAATAAACCTTTTTACTACAAAATCGACTATGGACAAAGCTACTTGTGTCCGCATCTAAAAGTCGAAGTCCAGAAAGAGCTACCGGTTTTCTAACCCTACACTCAGGTTATCGCGTCCCAAACCAGACGCACTGCCCTTCTCGCACGTTTCGAAAGTAACTGTGGCCAACATGCTTTTATGCACTTTCGCTGAAACGCGTGTCTGCGCCCCCGCCGGCCACATGAACGCTTACCGGTCACAGAGGAACAGGGCGCGGTCTCGAGCCGTCGGCGTCGACACGAAACGCACTGAGACACGAATGCCCAAATGCCACAATCTCTCACACAAATGCTTTCTTTTAGTTCACCATCTAATGAACACAAGCTCGGGGTGCCCTCAGCAAGCCCAAACGCTCCGACAAGCGTGTGAGGTTCCTGGATTCTTGAGAAGGGATGCCGTTGTGCTCGGTCATTATACAGCTCATCTTGAGTGGACTTAATTATAGGTTCAAAACCAATCACGTTCTCAGGTTCAAGACCCTGTCTGGCATTCTCCATACCTACTATCGAGCCCACCTCCGATTCGATACTGTTTATTTTGAAGAGTGCTTCAGCACTCCCATCGTGTTTTCTCGGACAAATAGCAGTTACGCTATCCTGTGAACTAGAATCCCCTCTCTCTCTGAGTGAGATATACGTATGGTCTAGGACCATTGACGTGGTGCCTGCTGCTACCTCTGTCGGTACAAAACAATCAGTGGCCACTATATCAGAGCCTTCATGGCATTCGCTGCCATCTTCCCAATGACGTTCTAGCGCTCCTTCCATGGAGCTATTGAGAGGTAGCCCTACCTCTTCCCGAAATGTGCTCGGCCTTTGAGACGTTCTGATACACACCTCATTCTGAATGGAGCTTCTTTGTTCCCTGCTATCGAAGCTTTGCTCCACAACATTTTCCACAGCTTCTAGGTCGCCCATATCCAGGCGCTCTTCTTCATAGGTGCTTGGCCTCTCAGAGGTCCCCAAGCAGCTAACGGAAGTAATATGTTCCCAGCCAGAGAAGCTTTCCGTCGCTTCAACAAACTCCTCATGACTCCTGCCTTCTTGGCTGTCCACCTCTCTGCCTTCCTCTATCTGAGCTTCTCGCTCCGAAGTAAGGCTGTCGCGAGATTCGAGGCCAACCTTGCAGGAATCGACTTCCCTCCAGCAAACGCTGCTATCGGAGCAAACATTCACCGCTTGCTCGACCTTCTGCATCGCCAGCTGCCCCCTTTTCGCCATCGCAAGCTCGAGTCGCCGCTCGAAGTCCACCCTCTCTAATTGGAGCTGCTGCTTCAGTATGCGTGTCTGACGCTCTAGCAACACTTTCTTTTCACGCGTTACGCGCTCTAGCTCCTCCTTCTTAGCTCTAAGCACCAATTCAAGCTTTTCCTTCGCCGCCTTTCGTTCTGCAGCCCGTTGCTCACGCTCCCTCTCCATCCGCTCCTCGTACCATACTCTAAACTCCGCTCCCGTCAGTCCCATTTTATCCGCCAACTCAATTAACTCCCACGTGTTCGTCATCGTGTTAACCGCGTCAAAAATCTACTGGAAAAACAAACGACTTTGTCCTGTCGCTGCGGACGCCAATTTGTGATGCGGGTTCTTGTTGCTGATTTGTTTTTCTCCCGGGCTGAGCCTCAGAGAGTTTTTCTAATAAGGACAAAGCCGTTCGGTTTCCAAGAAACACACAAAAAGTTTAATTGAAAAGTAAAAAGGCAAAGATTCCTCACAAAACAAAACACTTAATAAACAGTTGACTGGACATGACGAAACACATCTGTAAACACCCAACAAGAACGTTCAAAGTCAGTAACTAAACCTAACGTTCGGAAAGGGCTGAGTGATGGGAGTAGCGCAAGAGTATCGGTGCAGTCTCACCCACAAGTTGGTTTTCGGCGGTGATGAGAAACCGGAACGCCGTGACTCCTGCGTCAGTGCGTGGGTTGGACGAGGACGAGGGAACGCTGGCTGCTGGCGACACGTCGAAAAGCCCTACCAAATCGTGATGGTTTCGGCTTGAGGAGCGTGGACACGTCGGAGACGGGAGAACGCAGGCTGGTGGCGACGCGTCCGGGAACTAGGGTCGACCTAGTCAAGCAGCTGGGCGCACAGCTCGGGCCCGGAGCCCGACGGCTGTAGCTCGCCTGCCGGAACCAAAGTCCGCAGGCCCTGGAAAGGAGTTCAGGGCCGGATGGCCACGGTCCTTTGGAGCGGGAACCCGACAGCAGGAGGCCCCGGCCGGTGGAAGTCCTGTAGGCTCGGGTCCGGAACCCAACGGCCCATCTTCAGCGCCCGGTCCGGTGACGACCTTCCGCTTGCACTGCCTGCCTCGAATTCCCCTTGCTCTGGTCTCCCCAGGCTCCTGCTTCAGCTCTGGCCCACTTGTCTCGTTCTCATTGGAGATACTACTGTTTCGTGGTGTCAAGCCATTGGGCCTTGAAATCTCCGTGTTCGCTGCCCATTGGATGTTTTACCTTTTGTTTACTTCACGTCCTGCCACGCATCCTCGTGCTTGACGCTCTTTAACGTCGTCATTCTTGTTTAAGCAGCACCGCACGTGCACTCTGGTATTTCTCCTTTTGTTTTTTTTTTCCGTGACGCGCACTTTTCGAAGGCGCGCACTTTGAACGCGCACCACACATCACAGAGAGGCACAGATGATCGAGGAGATGGTTTGAAGAAGTGATCATTTATCGTCATGTGTACAGTTGTTTTACGGTGAGTCAGTGAAGCACATATGTTGTATAGTTTCACACAATGCAACAACGAAAAAACCGCAAGTTTACTTCATAGGCCGGGTAAAAAAAAAGAAACTCTTCAACTTTTTTTTTGTTTCATGTCATTCATTATTATTCCCTGGGGAATCCCTGTGATTGTGCAAGGGCCCGCTCCATGCGAAACCATTGGCGAAATGCTGCAAATGACATGAAATAATGATAGAATTATTGCCTCATTACAATCCTTTGTATTTACATGCCTACAGTAACCAATTGAAGCATAACCTATATATTATGATACGAATTTATTCCTTTTTTTGTGAGGCAGTACTGAAACTTTTCCTGGTATTGTAAACACACGCCAATACTTCAGAATTCACCGATAAATAAATCAAGCATTATTAACGACTAAAAAAACCTTACAATGGTGCTGTGAATGCCCAGAGTCTGTCAGTCAAATGCAGAAAAAATATACAGGCAAACAAGCGAGCATTATTGCAGTTTCTGTGGACTCAACAGCCTCATGAATTCGGCGGAAAGAAAGAGCCAAATCTAATGAGGTGGTGGATAAAGCCTTTCGTGTATTATGTTATACACTTTTTTGATAGTTTAGTGTCAAAACATTCGGGCCTTGTTTCTGCAAAAAGTATACTTAAATGAGTACGCCCTTTGGATACGATGTTGTGCATGCAATCAGAGCACATTTTAAATTTTGGGTTCTATCAGTGTTTCATTTGAGTACATTCCATCTCTATACCCTCAATTTTCTTCATTTTGTGTTAGAAAGCGCAACGTACTCGCAATTTATTGCTCATTACTAAGCTCTCCTGTTGCAAAGTCGAAAATTTTCTGAATATAGGAAAGTCTGTACATTTTAATATATAAGCATTTCTTTGTTGTCCTGCGAAATTTTCGGGGTAATATAACAATTGCAATGAATTCACTGCCCCGAATTCCCGCTTAGATAAATAAATGTCTGTACGTGAAGATCTCGCTCAACCCCGGAAATCTCTTCGTTACTTTCTCTGCTGCCAGAGCTTCTATAGCTAAGTTCTTATGCACCATTCCTGCCAACATACGTAGTGATGCACGCTTCTACGTTCTAGCTTGTAAAAACTTCCAGACAGATACTGTCTGCGTATAATATACCTTGATGAATTCTTGTACAATATTTAAATCTTGCATAACTTATTCAAAGGTTTTAACTGCAGAAGGAGTAATAGCTGTTTTTGTCATCTAGATACTATAACATTTTTTTTTGTAGTGAGAACCGTTTGTTTCATTTTGTGTTCTTTGGAGGGAGGGGTGAATGTACTTTTAAAAAGCACGAGATTATTCCAGATTTTTTTTCACAATTCAGCTTTTGGTTTTAGCAACGGAGGTTGTGTTTCTTTTCTGAAAACAACAAAGTTAAAGTACGCTGGAGCTTCCCCTTCAAGAGTAGAATGCGACAGCGTAGTTGGTCTTCTTGTTTATCGTGCTCTCAATAGCTCGTCTAGCGTAGGTTCTCCGCAGATGCCTCAGCCGTGCTGCAAGTGAACAAATGATTGTCGTTTCGAAGTATCATTGAATGCATATTGTAAGCACGCTTGTTAAGAGTCCTCTACGCCATATTTTTTTATTATGAATCAGCGAAGAGCTTACTACACGTCCGTGAGAAAACACATGAACATGCGCAGCTGCTAACTATGCTGATTCTTTTGCTGGTGACGATTAACCATGTCTGAGTTCTTTGTAATGGGTGCACCTTTAAAACATATACTTGTAGTGCAGTTTGCATGTTTTGAAGCTTTGCAGGGCTCACCGCTCCTACCACGCAATGTTACGAGTTAGCGTGACGCCTCTCACTAAATGACGTTCATATAGTGTTTTTACTAGTTTAGGACAAGACCATGAATTGGCGTTAGAACATCTATTTGTCTAGCACAATGCCTGGGTTCAGTTTTTGCTCGAATCAGGATTTTTGTTTCCTATTTTTTTCTTGCATTTGTCTCAAGTTTTCAATCATAGACAAGGATCATTTTTCGCTCACGACCAATCACGCCGATGGTGACACAGGACCCAGAACTTGCAAGTCAAGGTCATTGAGTGGTCATGCTAAAATTTTCGTTGCAAGTTCAAAATCTCTTTGCTGTATCACTAAGCAGGCAACTATTTATTACCCAAATAACAAAGATCATGCTGCTAATTTCTTTCTTTGCACGTATCACAGTGAAGACCTGTAACCCTCATATATGGCTGAGTTAACATATTTCAGCCGTATTTTAGAAATATGAAGAGGTAACGATTCAAGTTTTCGGCAGCTTAATTATTTCATTATGTGCCATGCTGTTTTATTGATGGTAGCACAATAGACGCACTGTGGTTGCTCTCGCAGAAATGCGCCACTCCACTCACCTTAATGCTGCGATTTTAACCTTAAATAGCATGGTGTATTCGCTGCGTAAAAGTTCGAGACTCAACAGCATATGCGTCGAATCAGTGGAGTGATGTTTTAGGAATATGACACTATATTTTGCAGTAAAAAATACTGGAATAGATTGTATGTTGTGTTGCCCACTGATTAAAACAGCTTACGCGCAAATAAGAAGAGAAAAAAACGGTAGAAAATAATTTAGTTACCATGAATTTTTACATCTGGCTATCACCCATTGTGTGCATATTTTACTAGCGTTCCGGAAGCATAGAAGCACTGTGATTGCTGCTCTTCAAACCTTGACAGTTTGTTGCATTAATAATATAAACCTATTTACGAAATGAACAAACTTTGAAGTTCTGAAAATCGAGTATAAATAACACAGCCACATGCTCCTTTACATACGAGCCATTAATCACTAGAAACTACTTGAGGAATTCGTTCTGCGTTTAAAAAAAAAGAATCTTTCACGGAAACGATAAAATTGAAACGCTTTTACAAACTCACGGGTCACGTTGCCGCCGTAGCAAGACCATCTTTTTCTACGCAGAAGAACGTTCTGTTCTGTGCAACTGTGCCCCGGGCAATAGTACACGCTTAGGGCAGAACAAGACCTAAGGAGAGAGTGGTCTAGCCCTATAGGCACAATTCGGTCGTTTCTAACCGCTCCGGGAAGCAACAACAAACAAATATTACGCTTACAACCGCGTAGATAAGACGACGTTTTCTTTGCTATATTTTTGCTTGTTTTTTGTGAATACACGGTCGCACGCCTGTGCACGGATGCGTATTGGTCCGACGTGTTTACTAACCGTCGCAACAGAAGCCAGAAAAGCATTCTCGCTACACTCACTGAAAGACGTGTTGTCATCCGACAGGCAACTATCCTGCTTTTTCAGCGCACGTCCTGCCTTAAAGTTGCCTTTTATGCTCGGGTTTTAGTGACTGCAGTGTCTCTGCATGAGTGCTCTGATGCGATAAACAGAACGGCTTTGTTTCGAAGAGAGAGTTTGACGAACTTTTATTTGCACTGCTGCGGGTATTCTAAACCAGAACATCCACTGTAACCCAACTTTGGATACAAAAGTAGCAAATTATTGTACACCAATTCTGTCTATTTAAAACCCACTGATGATCTCTCAAATTTCGGCTTTATGGTGGGCAACAGCACATTTGCGTGTGCAAGATCTGGGCAAATATGCTACGAATGTGCACCGAAGTCTCCCTAATTATCGGCTGGTGTATCAACACCAAAGAAAAACAATAGCACAGATTAAGTCTTAGCACCAGCCCACTGGTGCTCATTCTTCGTTATTTTGGGACGTTAAACCCCACATATCAATCACCTTTTTTCTTCAATAGGTTTTAAGACTTCCTGTAAAAAAAGTTCAGACTCACTGAATCAATACCAACAGAACGGTAATAGTTGTTCAAGGTTCAGCACAGTTTTAGCACTATATATCAGGAACACAAACATACCAAACTCAACAGAATAACGACGGTGTGCCAAATATCCATGGTGAAGGATCAGGGCTTGATGTTAGTTGAAATAAAAAAATGCGTTCTTGACATGTACTATATAAAGCAAGGATTAAGAGAATCTTTATGAAAAAAGTCTGAGAAATAAAATTTTGCGATAAATGCACTCAGCAAAAGCAACATGGTCCAAAATATGCTTACGTAGCTCTTCACAAAGGCAAAGGCAAGCACATCAGCTTTTCATGCTGCATTATAGTGCTAATGACACTGCAGTTTTTCTGTCCCATGATACAGTCGAACTCTTCTCTGTCACCGTTTTCTCGCCTATTTGGATAGCTGCAGGCTTTTCCTGAAGTACAGTACCTCATGCTATAACTTGGTATAAACTGTTGACCAAGTCGTCATCATCATTGGTATATTCATCATCTCATCATCATCCTAACTACGCCCACAGCAGGGCAAAGGCTTCTCAGGTGTTCCGCCAATCAACCCATCCTGTACTTTCTGCCGCCACGCTATACCTACAAACTTCTTAACTATATCTGTCCCCATAATTCTGCCTCCCTCTTGCACGTCTGACTTTTATTAAAACGAGTCCTATAATTCACCCTTAATGACTAGTATACTTCCTCTCAATCTCTCCTCCTATTGTGTACTTAGGCAGATAAGCGCGTCTATCTGTGTGGTGCTAATTGCAAGAAAGCTACCTTTTGGTAAAGGAAACGTTTACCAATTGCTTATCAAGGAAAGCCGTCATATAAATTAGAATGCTTGTAATGTACTTCTATTATAACACTACTAGCACAACAGAAATTAGAAAATATTTCACTTCTCTAACTGATAATATATATTACCACTTTGCTATACTAGAGCTTTCATGTATGTGCTTCGGAAAAGAAGCTGGCAACAATGCGACTCTTCCAAACTAACATCAAACGTGAAAGCAATATCTCTAGGGTTTCCTAACACTAAGCTCTGGGGTCGTCGTTTCGTTCGTTGGATATACTATCATGAACCCGCCTGCCACCAAGCACAGTTTCATGCACCCTTATTTACTTGCAAGAGAAATGGTAGCCAGCCCCTAGGATTAAATTACTATATTCAGGACATAATTCACTTTTGTGGTTATAGTGTGCAGAAGCCGTGGTACCCCCGCTTTGTATTGCACTTTACTGGTGCGTCGCGTTGTGACAACAGTCATATAAGCGGCCCTTCCATCCGGTATATTGTGCGCGCTGGAATTTTTCCAGCGGGTAGTGCGTGACCCGCCTTCGTGGTATAAGACCTCGAAAGCAGAGATAAGTCTATAGCCTACCTGTTGTTACTTTTACTTCGATATTTACGGCTCAATCTATGGTAAGAGCTGCGTCCGGTTTTGGGCTTCCGTCTGCATGCTTCGCGCGCAGTGTTATCGCAAGAACAAACAGTGTTGTAAAGAATAGCAAACACCTTTCACTCCGTGGAAGCGGCCTTTTGTTGGGCCTAAGATGCAGCCATGTACTACGCATGTGAATGCAGTGCAGTGCCTTACGAACGCAGAATGACTGCGAATGCTAAAGAGGCCCTGAGAAACTTTTTTGAGTAGCCACGGAATTAATTTACAGAAAAAGAGTATTACCTCAGAAATTGAACGCCGCAAAAAATTTAAGAATCTCTCTAGTACGAGTGGTCATAAAATTAGTCACACATTGCAATCACATCCTCTCGTCTTTCGTCCCTACGAAAGTGCTGGAAGCTGAGCAGGGAGGAATGAGAGGGGCGAACAAAAAAAAAAAAAAACGTTCCTCGCGCCTCATGACCTTGAGCTTTTTGTTCTTTTTTTCTTTGATTGATTATGCGGCTTTTTTAGTGCGATCGCGCGTTCAAGCGTGGACAAGTGACAGCCTCTCACGGCGACCTCTGTAACAAACATTATAGCCATACATTATAGCCATACATTATAGCCAAACATTATAGCCAAACATTATAGCCAAACATTATAGCCAAACATTATAGCACAGCCTCGAATTTAGTTAGTTCTCAGTCAGCTGTAAAGCATTCCCTTTTCTCTATATGATGCCATATACTTATTTTACTTCGGCATTTACCCTAAGTCCATACTCGTTGGCTAATTTGAGTCATATGATGAACGATTGATTGAGTGAAAGTATTACTGATATACAATGTGCTATCGCTTCTTGGCTCAAGCACCATCGTATCGAAAAATCAGAGAAACCCAGAAAAAACATGGGATATCCACGAGTTTATATTGATGGGTGTGTGGAGCAGTGGTGTCGTTCGATGTTACCTTAAGTCACCCGTGAAATTGGCCACTTACGCATGTAAATGAGTGCCAAGTGGTGTGCAGTTATTCACAATGTTTATTGGTCATAACTGGTATGCTGTGAGATTCGTTGTGAGATTCGTTTTGCCCTCATTATTACTGCTTTTAGGTATCGTATCTGGCCTGAAGTTGGCAATGAAGACGTGCGGGTGCGTTCCCGTGGTGGTTGTTGGTTGTTTCCAGTCATACGAACTTCAACACAGAGCATATCGAGACGTCATCTGCTGCAGAAGCATGCCATTGCAACTATTCGTCAGGGTAGCACACATAAATCATAGTCACAAGAAGTTGAACCATACCATACAATTTGGGAACTGAATGAACTTATTAGATGTGATTCAATTCTGAAAAATTCTAAATAGAATTATCTGTATAACAGCCTGGTCAAAAGGGTTTTCAAACAAGATTTCACAAAAGCGCGTGCCAGACGAAGCACAGCCAAAAGAAGACGAAGACCGTGGAGCTGTGACACGTGTATTTCACCGTATTCCACTGCCAGCCAAGCCTTCAGGACTTCTTGTGAAACGTGCGCTTCTCTGATGAGTGGGATGCCTGAGCAGGGACCGGCCGTTTTGAAACTCAAAGGTGGGGAGGAGGAAAATATCCCTAACTTTCCCGCAAAAGCGATGGAGATGGAGCAAAGCACCACCGGAGAGGGCGGCGGAATTCCTTTCATCACCGCATCTATTACGGGCCACCATCCCGACGGTGAATCCAGGACATCGGCAACCGACAGTCTAAGGCCAGAAGTTGCTGTTTTGATGGTCGACACCAATGCCTTGAACGCGAAGACCGTCAAACATGCAGAATGTCCAAACACGTTCACTGCAGAGAAGCCATCAATTCCAGACAACGAGACCAAATCGCAGAAATCTCAAGGTGTGCGGCAAAGCCTGAGCAAGTTTTTCCGCTCACTCTCAAGTGGATCGAGCATTGCAAAAAGAGACCCCGCCAGCGGCGCCGACATTAAGTCTCGGGAAAATACTAGCTCCGAAAGTACGGCCACGATGCGCCAGAGGGGCAGCAGCTACCACGCCGTCATCCTGGGCTTCCTACTCGCCAGTGGCACCAGCGCCGTGCTTTCCCTCGTAAATGTTATTGTCAAGAGGCTCGAGACGGTGAGCACGCTCGAAGTGCTCACCTTCATGGCATTCGGCGTCTTCATCGGCATCCTTCCCGTGGCCACTGAGGAAGTACAGCCATTCGGATCGAGGGCAGCCCAGCCGCTTCTATTCGCGAGGACCATTTTATCACTGGCATCGGCAACGTTGAGGCTCATGAGCCTGTCCTACCTGACCGTCGCCGACTCGTCCATCATGACCAGCCTCACTCCGCTCATGGTTGGCCTCACGGGGACGCTGTTCCTCTCCGAGCGTTGTCACTGGACCCGGGCTGTAGCAACTGCCCTCTCCGTAGTTGGACTCATCCTACTGATGAAGCCTCCGTTCATGACAACAGCCAACGGTTCGATGGCCATGACACAGTACATCGGTATCGCCTACGGGCTCAGTCACTCGGTCATCAACGGCGTCACCACCGTGTGCATACGGGCGACGAGAGGAGTGTCGCGGAGCGTCGTGGTCTTTCACTACGGCTGTCTGTCTATGCTTCTGGTGTCCATTGTGTCCATAGCCATGGGTCGCCTCAAGGTGTTCTACGACGGCTCGCAAATTGGATACCTGCTGCTCATCTCTCACCTCACATTCGCGCTCCAGATGTTCCTGAGCAAGGCGCTAGACGTGGAGAGCGCCTCCTTTGTGACCATCGTGAAGACGTCCTCGGACGTGATCTTTGGATTTATATTGCAGGTGAGAAAAAATCCACAGCCTTTAGGTGCTGTGCTCGGGTCATTTTCACATTGTACTCTTGCAGAAAGTGTTTGATTTGGTTAGGGAACGTATTTCGAGCAACCATGTTTTCTCAAGCCTTCATACGCAATTGTGCAGCTGGAAAAAAAAAACTAACGTAACGGCCCAAATATATATATATATATATATATATATATATATATATATATATATATATATATATATATATATATATATATATATATATATATATATATATATATATATATATATATATATTTGGCTGTCTGCAAAAAGGACAATATCGTCAGCATAAAATAGATCTGGAAGCTTCTGCTCAACCATGGCGCCGGCCTGTTTCTGTTACAGCTTAAACCCAATATTGCTATTTTCTAGCCTTTTTTTCATCCTCCCCATGAATAACACAGGGGACAAAAGACACCCGGTCTCGGTCCAATGATAATTTCAACGCTGTAATTGCTACCTATACTTTCCCATTCTACGCAAAGTATGTATTATCTGTATGTCTTTCTCAAAAGCATTATATAGTAGTCAACTAAGTTCACTTTTTTCAATATATCCCACAAAATCTCCTGAATATAGTTTTCATATGCCTCAGTTTTGTCCAGATAACCTAGGACGCTGTTTACTATTTTATATATTTCTTTACACTGAGTAGGAACAAAGAGGTTATCGTCTAACCACCTCTCGATTCGGAATCCATTCTGAAGTTCTCCCAAAATATCATTTTGCTCTACCTACGTTTCTATTTTTTATTTTTTATTTTAATGCCTACACCGGGAACCTTGTACATAGCACTGTCGTAATGGTTAGCGGTCTATGAGAGTGAATGTTAGCATTTGCTCTCTTGCCTTTAGTGATTAGGTTCATTCTACTTTTCCTACAACTAGTTGTCCGGTGTTTCCCTCTTCTGTAAGCATTTTTCTACGGATTGGGCAGCGTTGTGTAATCTAGGAAGTATTGTTGGAATCTTCGGAGAGGCAAGCTGAGCGCCTACCTTGAGCGGCGACCGACCAGAGAAGTGTACACTGGCAACACTGGCGTACACTCAGGTGTCCACCGGATAAGGCGCGAGCAATAAAATATTGCCTAGGAAGCTCCCAAATAAACACAGAAAGGGTTCATGCCTGTATAGAACCACGTTAACATGTGTAATATAAAATGGTAAAAGAGTGAAATAACGGCCAAGGGTCGCCGAAGGCGAATGATTACGTGTTTAGATGCTTCCAGCTCATTAAAAAAGGCTCAGCCATATTTCTTCGTCAGCCACCGCATCAACAAAGTACACACAACCCCTTACAGATGTGAAGCAGGTGCCTTAATTCTCTGCAGAATTACGAATGGCGTATTGCGTGCTTTCAAAGTTACCCCAAATGTCTACAAAGGTCTCTCGAAAGGCCGCTTCTCGCTGCGGTGGTCTAGTGGCTAAGGTACTCGGCTGCAGACCCGCAGCTCGCGGGATCGAATCCCGGCGGCGGCGGCTGCACTTTCGGTGGAGGCGGAAATGTTGTAGGCCCGTGTGCTTAGACTTAGGTGCACGTTAAAGAACCTCAAGTGGTCTAAATTTCCGGAGCCCTCCTTTCTGGCGTCCCTCATATGGTGGTTTTGGAACATTAAACCACACATATGAATCAAAGGCTGCTACCCCAGTCATGGGTGACCATGCTGCATGTTCGCCGCAGGCCTGGCGTTTTTAATTTCTAGTAACTAATAACGCGTCCAGTTCACTACTCCCCGTGCATAGAGTTTATTTCACATCTTTGAGCAGGCCGAAGTATTTCTAAATCTTCAGACTATTCAGGTGGCTCCGTCATAAGTGGCGTAAGCCTTCTGAACCAATTGCAGCATTTGCTCGTACTTTCTGTCATATATAGCGTCACACTAGCGCGTAGGTTAAGGTATAAATAGAGTCTTGTAGTTTCCGACACTCTTCTTCTCACTACTGCGAGATCCATAGTCCCCGTTCGCTCAGTTTCCTTGAACGGTAGGGTGTTCTTCTATGGACTTAGGGGTTAATTACCTCTGCGCCCCAGTGGTACAGCGGTAGCCGTAGTCGCTTGCGGACACTAGCGGGTTCGATCCCAACTATGGTGGTTGCTTTCGAAAAGGCGAATTGCTGAAGCCCCGAGTTGTATGCAATGCCACTGCACGTTAAACAAACCATGGTGGTGGAAATTTCCTGAGTCCTCTACTGCGTGGCACGCGCTCAAAACCGGAGATACCTTTACATGAGCCATGCCGAATTCATTTTATCTTTAGATGGTACAAGTTTGTTGACGGGCCTTCTTTTATCAGTGCATTTCATGCACACACTAGATACGAAATCTCATTGAGCCTTTGCTAATGCTCACAGAGACGTGAACGTACTTTGTTGTATTGTTTGCAAAACGTTAAGAGTGCATTAACAGCGCTGTTGTAAAAAGTGAATCGGGGTGCCACTTTCCGACTATTAATATTTTCGAAAGTAGTATGTGTGAAACACTGCAGAAAATTTTCACTTATGAGGCTTAAGTGAAGCAGTTCATCGTTTTTTTTTTCTCATCGCAGTAAAACATATTTATTTCCACGGGTCTGTTCGCAGGCTATTTTCTTGAACGTGTATCCGGACAGGTTCAGCATTTTGGGCGGTTCCCTCATCCTGTGTGGCGTCTTGATTATCGGTCTACGCAAGATCGCCCTGGCCTCCGATCCTGACAGCGGCATCAGGCACAGGCTGCAGTTTCTGCTCGGAGATTAAGAATAAAGTTCTATTATGATGGTGAATTTCCTGGCATCCTCAGTGGCTTTTGTTATAACATCGACACGTTTAACTCTTATGAAAGTCGAAAATGTTGCTCTTAAGCTAAGAAAGCGTAAAGTATTATCCTGTTCAATACCGGGCGAAGATGTTATGAAGAAAAAGCGATAACAGCATGCAAAGTGTTATTTAAAAAAACATGTCGATGGAAATGTTATTTTACGATGGGGAAAATTGGTTTCCCCACAAAGGCGACTTCAGTTGCATATATGCAGCAAACACAGCTTACGCGATAGTGAGGTCATTACATGATATTTCAGTGAAACACTTTGAGCAGAGCAGCAAAGGTAAAGCCGGAGCTCTACCCGCAGGTCACGGCATCGACTTCCGGCTGCCACGGCTGTATTTTCAATGCAGGTGAAAGGGCTGTAGGGCCATGGGCTCAGATTTGGGTTCACGTTAAAGAACCCCAGGTGGTCTAAATTTCCGGAATCCTCCACTATGGCGTCTCTCATAATCATATGGTGGTTTTGAGACGTTGAAGCTTCACATATCAATAGTGAATTCAGAGCTTTCCCTACTCGCTTTAATCTAGAAGCATGTCTTTCAGTGGTGACCAGTGATGTGCTAATCAACATGATACAGATTATTTGAAAAAGAATTCATTATTCCTGACGGAAGCGAAATCCACAAAACATCCTGTGTAACTTTCGGTGTATTATCATGGCCGTCCCTATAACCCTCTTTTCGGGTGGTATTGACATTAGCAACATTTTCAACTTCTTTTCACCGTTCTACAGCTCTTGAACGGCCTTCTCGTAAGGAACATCATGCAGCTATTCAAGCGAATGCTTTAAATTTTTATGAAATGTAAATTTTGATTATCTGTAAGTTTCTCCGTGTCGGCTTTATTGTCTCTGAGAGACTTATATTTCCGCACCACAAAATTCAACCAACATTTAATAGAAAGTGTCTTTCATCACTTTGGGTTCTGGGCATTCATATGGTGCCCATATTATCACAATTGACAAGCACGCATTAGAAGCAATAGTGGTTAAGGTAGTTACATTGAGATCGTGGGTGCGGGATTTAAAACCCAGTCCTGCCGATGAGACGTCTGTTTCAGAGCAAAGCTGTTATAGTCGATGTTTTTCGTGTGTTGGTAATAAAAATGTATCATCATTACTAACCAGTACCCGCTTTAACTCTTTCTAAACTATGTGTGCAGTATTTATTTTCAAACTTGTATTGGCACTTGAAATCATAATTAACTAACTAGTGCATTTAGGAATGAAGCAGTGTGGCAAGTACCGCAAAAATTCACCTTAAACTCGGCCAATCCCCTTCATTGAGTAAGAGCCAAGTTCAGAGAAAAACAACAACAAAAACATCGCCCATAATTGTGTACAGGTGGTTAACAATAGAAGCAGAAACGTACCAAGCATCTCTGTATGCTGGGAGGCTGCCTTGTGCGATCAAAGCAAGCTATGCTAATTATAACTTATTTCTTTAGAACATGGTCATCTCCAATAAAAAAGAAAGGTAGGGCGTATGAGTGCGCAGTTTTTTCTCGTTTTGTTTGTCGTGTTGGCCTCATTCTACAATCAATGCAATATTTCCGGACAACACAACGAGTTCTGAATAGCTGAATTTTCCATACTGGAAGAGATGCAATGCTTTTGTAAAAACACTCAACGTTAGAAAAGGTAAAGGTACGCTGAAGAGGAACAATGATTTTGTTTACATTGACAAACTTCTCTCTGAGAAATTTATTGCCACTTTCACAATCATAAGTTCCTTATTAATGGAGAAAATCGAAGCTCGAAGTTTTGTTTTTACATTTCGAGGCAAAATCTCCAAACTTTCAAAATGTGTTTTTAGTATTTTCGTGGCATTTACGTTGGCTTGGTGAAATTTTCTGAAAATTCGCACTCACAAATTGCAGTATACTTCATTTCCATCGATTGGAAGCTACGTAAGATGCAGTAGACACTTTTAAAATTTCTTACCTCATGGTGTTTGGTGCGTTAATCTCAAGATGGCGTCGCCACGCGCATTTTCATTCCCCGCGTTTTCTTGCTTGCCACGTGTCATGCTAAGAGTGGTGTTTTCGGTACTGTGGACTTGTAAACGCGAAAAATCATCTTGCTATTTCGAATCTTTTTAAGACAGCACACGTGGGCCCTCGTCGCAAATTTTGCGTTGAAGCCATAGACAGCGCAAAAGGTCACTTCACTCCATATAGATAATTTTACGAGTGGGTTTCAGTGCCGCCGTAATGGGCTGTCAACCTTCATCTTTTCTATTTTTAACGACTAAAACGAACAGTGTTACGGTATACACATACGCATGAAGACAGTTGCGTTCGCGCAACAATGTTTCATGGTCCTGTTGATTCACGTTGTAATATCCAGGTTCTTTACGATGTTTAGAAACCAAGTCTCACCATTCGGCGCGCGAGACGCACCACCCAAGGTGGTATAGTGAAGTAGGAGAAAAATCTATTGGCTTGCTGGTCGCTTGAAGATAAAGCAGAAACGCTGGGAAAGTTCTAGTAGACTGAGAAAAACTTGTATTTACAGACTGTTCAAAATATACATGAAAGCAGACATTAAAGTCCCAAAAAAGAACACTTTGTAAATGAAACGTATTCTGTAGGGCGACCCTATGGGATTCGGCGGATCCGACGGTGCCTAACACCTTAAGCCCGGTTCAGAACGCTTGGCAGAGCTCCGGGGCCTCTTGTTATTCCCTGGGTGCTCCGCCCTTACACAACTCTCGGCGAATCATGGCCTGCTTGTCCTCTGATAATACAGCACTTTGTTAATCTAAACCCGCCATGAGGACGCAACCTTCGTCCATGTGCGAGGGCTTATACCTTCACCTTAAATAACACAACAACCAAATTATGAATAAAACACAACTACAAAACGACATAGAGGTAAGGGCCAGCTCAGCGTGCTGGGCTTCGCGGCCATAGGAACGGTTTCCTGGGAAACACGCCAGCTTCTTCCGCCTGTCCGCTGTGCTTGGAATTGTGCAAGGTTGGGCTAGTTGGTATGACATGACGATAGGTGTAGCGCGAGAACAGAACGACGACACAGAGGCAAGAAGGACACGAGCGCTAACTTCCAACTGAGTTTATTGCGCAGAGCACGAAAATATATAGTAGAGACAGCAAACCATGTGAAAAAAACCATGTGGCACAAAGGACAATATATGAGTAAGAGAAAAACAAAAGCAGAGAAAAAGGCAAAGAAAAGTCTAAAAGAAAACGAAACAGAAAAGTAAAGTTAATATAACTACTTGCGCGCACCGAAACCTTCGAGGAACCTTAGTTCTTTCTCGGACAGAGACACGGAGGGCTTGCTAATGCACGTCACCTGTTCCCGTGCCATCTGCGCGGCCTCGACGATGACTCGGGTGCGCTCATCCCAGTGCTTGTGCAGCGTCACTGTGTCCTTGAAAAGTGGCGCACAGTTGCACTCAGTGCTGCATTGAGTGCAGCTCTGGCCGATCAGCTCGCCCTACGCCATCTCCTGACGCCGACTAGAGCTCTCGCTGAATGGTGCCCCGTTCTCTGGTTTCTACGATCATGTTCATCTTTCCTATCTTCTTCTTACTGCCGTTTAAGGCTGTCCCTGCGACTCTTTCTTTCTGCTCCTCTCAATACCTTCAATTCCTCCCTATCCTTTTAATCTCTCCTTACCCCCATACCACGTGAGCTACTGTTGAGGTGTCTTCCCCCTGAAAGACAGTTACGGGCTCACTTTTATGCTCTTTTCATTTATAATGACTCCCCGCTCCCCCCTCCCAAAGATATGAGTCAATGCGCCGTTCTGGCTCTCGGGACAGGCCTATTGGTGCGCCGACTGCCAGTGCCGTGAGGCCATTAGGACGTCAGCACAATGACGTTTTTAACCCCTGTTGCCCACGTGGACAGTTTCTTTTTTTTTTTTTTTTTTTGAGTTGACAGGAATTCAAAATGCTCGGCCGGCTCTGGCGCTGCAGAACCACGTGGGGTACCATGTTGGCGCCAGACTGTCTTTGCGTTCACGGCAAATCCGGACGAACACGTTTCGACCGAGCGCTATATAATAAAGGAATGCTGTCTGTCAACGGCTGACATGCCTCCCCAAGCTTACCGCACAAAGTAAATGAAAGTAAACTAACTGCCGCGCAACCAATTCGAACCGCGGTCCTACACACTTTCTGATACAGATAAGCAACAAACATTGTCTTAGCATCCGAATAGTGTGGCGCCAAGATGTCTTAGATCGTGACGGAAAGAAAGCTGAAGAGAGCCCCTTGCCATGCGAGCAGCAGAGCGATAAATGTGGCGGAAGTCACGTGCTCTTGCAGAGTGGTTGCGAGATTAGGAGGAGCACGCCAGTGTCTCGTATCGTATGCAGCACCACTCGTATGACCGCGTTGTAGATAGCCGGTTGGAGTTCTGAATGTCAATTTTTATGCTGCCGTTGCACTTCAAGGATGATGCAATGTCAAGGAGCCTGCAGTGAGAGTTGGTCTTCACTTTTGCAAGTTCATTTTAAATCGCTTGAGGTCTTAAGTGGTCATTTACTAAGCTCACGACCATTTCGCTGAAAATATTTGTTGCCGCAGCTTCACTGTTTTCCTTCGGTATGGTGCCGTTGCGTGCCTCGGTGAAGGAATCAAGCCTACAATTGGTGGGGTCTCAAGTTGGCGAGCGCCACCAAGCTCTTGGAGTGAACGGACACAGTAGACGCAGTCGGGGCAAACAAACATATACGTTTATTTAACTGCTTTTGAACGACGATATCGTCCGCGGAACCGATACATCAATTGTAATTAACACGCTAGGACATTGCTACACAATAACACGACAAACACACAGCATGACAAACACACTAAAACAACCAAGGCGGCGTCGCCAACGCTTGACTTACCACGAGGGCCCCCTGGGGAACAGGCCGTGGTACCACGCACCGAGGACCCACGCTAGAAACAACCATTCGCGC